TGGAATAAATTCCCCAAGTTTAGGCCCTCTCCTTTTTTTTTTTGAGACAGGGTCTCACTATGTAGGTTCAGGCTACCTTTAACATTGTGCTAGCCCAGGCTGGCCTCAAACTCATAGTGATCCCCCTGCCTCAGCCTACTGAGTGCTGGGATTACAGGCATGTGTCACCACGCCTGGCTCCCTCTTCTCCTTTCTTGCCCAAGCTCCCTCTGGCCAAGCCCAAAGGAAGCCATGGGGCCCAGGGTCTGTTGTAGAAACCATCAGATCAGCCTCCTGAGGTAGGCAGCAGAGTGGAAGGAGGTGGGATATGCGCCTAGATGGGAAGCAGTGCTACGTGCTGATATTATAAAGACCCAAAATTTATCTTTCTCATTATAGTCACAGTTGATAAGTGTTTATAAGAGAGAGTTGTAGTTTTATAACAATGCACTATGGGGCTGGCGATATAGCTCAGTGGCACAAGCGCCTGCCTGGCAAGCTCATGGTCCTGAGTTTGATTCCCAGTACTAAAAACAAACAAACAAAAACAAAAAAAATGCACTAGATAAGATCCTTACAGGAATAAAGTTTTAAGGTGGTGGTGTTTGTTTTTTTCTTTGAGCCACAGGAAAAGAACATCACAGGGGACCATAAGAGTTTAAAATCTATGTTCTGTAAAAAAAAAAGAAGAAATATATTTGCTATAGGAGAGGTAGAAAGAGGTTTCTAAATCTCATTCTGCCTGAGGGCCTATTTCAAGGCCCTGAGCTCAGTGTTTACTTCGGTCTTGCATCCACTCCTCTTTCAACAAATATTTATTAAGTGTCTCCAGTGTGCTGGGTATTGCATGAGGCTCTGAGTGAAAGTAGTGAAGCAGACATAATGCTGTCTATTTGAAACATGTAGTCTAAGAGGTGAGTCAAACGAGGCAGGGAAAGCCTGAGATACTTTCCGAGGTTTGCATTCATGCAGACTGTCATTGAGAGCTACAGATCCTCTGTGTGTTGAAGTACAATATTTAAACAGGAAAATGGGAGAGCCTCCAGTGCAGGCACTGACATGCAAAAGAACCATAGATTTTTAAGCAGCCTATTTTCCCCACACCCCAAAGAAAGATCTTCAACCTAAATTTTAATCTAGCCAGCTCTGGAAAAGCTTATTCAAATATTATTTGTGAGTTGAGGTAGAGGTGGCCAGAAAACTACTCAATATCACAGCCAAAGAATTGTCTGCAGTAAAATAAATGTTCTGTTCTGCATTGTCCAATATAGGAGCCACTCGTGATGGGGGGTACTAAGCATCTGAAGTGCTGCTAATGAGACTGGGGGCTGAATTTTAAATGTTTAATGTTAATTAAATTCAATTAGCCACATGTGGCTTTGGAAGGCATAACGCAGATTGAGGACAAGGTGTGTGAGCTGGGACTTGCTGAGCTCCAACTGCTTCATTTAACCTCATTTCCGCTTTCAATGGTGTGAATAACAGGCATTCATTTTTTTCACACAACACCACGTGCCCTGCAGGGTATCGAATGGGGATAAACGGAAGGTAGGCTATGAAACGAACAAGTGTTAGAGGTGGGTGGAGAAACTGGAATCTTTGTGCCCTGCTGGTATGAATGCAAACTAGTGCAGTGGAAAATGCTTTGATGATTCTATGCAAAATTAAACACACATTCACCATATGATCCAGTAATTTTATCTCGGGGTGTATACTCGGAAGAAATGAAAGCAAGGGGCCCAGAGAGATGTTTGCACCCATGTTCTTAGCAGCATTATTCACCACAGCTAAAGGGTGAAAGTACCACAAGCATCCACTGACAGATGGGTGGATAAGCAAAACCTGACGTGTACAGACAGTGGGATATTATCATTAAAATATTAAAAAAGAAGGAAAGTCTGACACCTGCTATAATGTGGGTGAAGATTAAAGACATTACCTTATGTAAGCCAGTCACAAGAGGACACATATTCTATGATGCCACTTATATGTGGTACTGACAGTAGTAAATTCATAGAGACAGAGTGGATTGGCGCTTGCCACAGGTCTGGGGGAGAGGAGAGGGGAGAGTTAAGTGGGGCTTTGGGGTTGCTGAATGCCACTCAGATGGGCCGTTGGGTTAAATGACCTTCCATCCTTGAGTGTCAGGGGCTTTTAAGCTCTGAAAATTAGGAAAGCCAGTCCTGTCCAGATGGTGCTGCTGCTGACGAGCCCTCATACGGTGGTCATAAACTTCTCCAGATGCTGACCTTGTTTTACCTGGGCTTTGCCCAAAGGTCCCTGTCAGTCCCCATCTCTCTAAAAGTCCAACCAGACTGAAGGTGAGAGCTGACCTGCAAGAATAACTTATAAAACCAGAAGACCAACCTGGGGCCTGGCCAGTGGGTGGGCCAATTGAATGTAGAGCGGAATTCAGATTGGCCGTACTCTAAACTTTGTCACTATCATACCTGTAGGCTTTCATATTCCCAGCTCAAATAGCCCACTTGGCAACAACTACCTTGCATTTTCCCAACAGAATCTCTCCCTGCAGCTGTAATAATGTCTTCACCCCTGGAACATCCAGTCCATTGACCCTCTGATACCTTTGCATTTCCCCTCCATGCCGTCATTTATGTCCTCTCTTAGCAGGCTTGGATGATAGCTTTTATTAAGGTCATTTTCTTACATACATCCTCAAACCCTCTCTCTTCCCGCCTGGCAACTTCAAATGTTGGTTGTTCTAGACCAGTGGTGGCAAAACTATGGCCCACGTGCCACAGCAGGCTGTTCGTATCACTGAAGCCCTAAAAGGCCATCGCTGTTCTAGACTCTCACCCAGTTTTATTTGCACCCAAGTAAATAAATGAGGCTGGTGAGAACACACAGCTGGCCAAACCAGCTGACCTGCTGTTAGATTCATGATCCTGCCCTACCATGAGCTCTTGTCGACACCCAACAATCTGTTCTATTTTCAAAGTCCATTTCCTATCCCACTGTCCTAGACAACTATCTCACGCTTTTCTTTGCTTTTCAAACATCCTCCCTACTCCTCACTCTTGCCGAGTGGCCTGGTTTCATATTCTTGGTTTTTGGTTTTTCTCCGGTACCGGGAACTGAACTCATGACCTTGTGCTTGCCAGGCAGGCGCTTTTGCCGCTGAGCTAAATCACCAGCCCCCTGGCTTCATATTCTATTGATGAGGTAGATTCTGCTTCCACTTGAACAGTCTGTGCCTCGCTGCAGCTCACCTCCGCTCCCACTGAATCTGACCTGTGCGCCTTGTGCTGCAGCCAGCTCCGCTAACTGCTGAGGAACTTCCTTCTGGCAAGTGTTGCTCATGTCCCCTGCATCTGTCACTCTCTCCTTCCAGTCTCTTCACACCCAGAAGCACATGATCACACATCACTTCTTAAAACATGTCTCCTTTGCTTCCTTATTGCTACTGCTCCGTTTCTTGGTCTCTATTCACTCTCTTTGTGTGTTCCCTGGGCCCACACCAAATGGGTTTCGGTCACTCCACCACCTAAACTCATTTTATCGAGAAATTTAATAGCCAGTCGTTCCATTTTAAGTCCTAGTTTTTCATCCCTTACGAGCATTTAGTAGAGTGGGTCATTGTTCTTTTCCCTCGCTCCCTTTCTTCCTTCCTGCCTTCCTTTTTTTCTCCTTCCAGTATTGAAGATTAAATTTAAAGCCTCCCTCATGTTCTCCCTCCCTTTCATCAGGGATTCCTGCCTGTCTTTGCTTGTGGACACGTGTAGAACCTGACTGTTCTTGCCCTCCTCGCTGCTACAGCTTCTATTAGTCAAGATTCTCCAGAGAATCAGAATAGAGTGGGTAGATATTAATGTATATGCAAATATATCACAAGGAATTGGCTCCTACAGCTACGGAGGCTGAGAAGGCTCAAGATGCGCAGCCAGCTAAGTGGAGACTCAGAGGAGCCAATGGTGTGAGTTCTAGGCTGAGTCCAAGTTCAACGATAAGACAGGACTGCCGGGCATGGTGGCGTACACCTGTAATCCCAGCATTTGGGAGGCTGAGGCAGGAGGATAGTTGTGAGTTCAAGGCCTGGCTGGGCTACAAAGTGAGTTCAAGGCCAGCCTGAACTGCATAGTGAGACCATGTCTCAAAAAAAAAAAAAAAAAAAAAAAAAAAAAGATAAGACAGGACTGAAGACTCCTTTCAAAGATAGGCAGAGAGAGAATGGATGCTTCCTTACCCTGCCTTCTTATTCTGCTCAGGCCTTCACTGGGTTGGATGAGACCAGCGCCTCCTCTCGTGCACCAAGAAGGGCAAACTGCTTGCCTTACCCTCCCAATTCAGCTATTAATCTAGTCCAGAAGCACCTTCCTAGGCCCACTCAGAGAGCAACATCGAACCAAATATTTGGAAACTGCAGGAGTCAAGTTGACACACACAGTTGTCACGGCTGCCTTATCTGTTGAATCTTTCTCCTTTAATTTATCCCTAGCACAGCAGTGTGTGTGTGTGTGTGTGTGTGTGTGTGTGTGTGTGTGTGTGGTGGAGGCCGTCATGATGCTTTTCTGGTAAGAATTCTTCAAACCTCCCATCTAAAGATAAAATTTGAAAACTACTGTGACCATGAAGGCCCTGCTTGCTCTGCTACCCATCAGTAGCTTCACCCCCATCTCTCTTCCCCCACTCTCTCTACGCACCCACAGAGGTTTCTGTAAAGACGCCAAGTGTGTCTGGCCTTTATCTGCACATCCCTAGGCTTGAAGTGGTCTTAATCCAATTACCCACATTGCTTCCTCCCTCGAGGAATGGTTTTCTTATCTGACAGGCCTTTGCAGTAAACCCATTTTTAAAATGCCTACCCTCACCCCTCTTATTTACGTCTTTTAAAGATAATTTTAAGAACAGTTTTAGATCTACAAAAATTTTTTTTGCAAAGATGGTACAGAGAATTTCCATACACCCAGTTCCCAGGACACTCATTTACTACCATCAGCATGGTTCATCCATCACAAGCAACCAATCTTGATACTTTATTACCAGCAAAAGTTCATACTTACCCAGCTTTCCTTAGTTTTGACTTAATGTCCTTTGTGGAGGATAGTCCCATCGTGGATATTTCACTACCTTTATCTCTCAGGTTCCCTTAGGATTCCCTCGGCTGGAGCAAGTTTTCAGACTTTCCTTCTTTTTGATGACCTCGACAGCTTTGAGGAAGGTTGGTCAGACACTTTAAAGGATTTGCCAGTATTGGGATTTGTTTGGTATTTTTCTGAGGGTAAGGCTAGGATTTCGGGTTTCGGGTTCTGCGGAGGACTACCCCGAAGGGAAAGTGCCATGTCCACCACCTATGAAAGGTTCGGAGTAACATCAGTGCGACACGACTGATGATGGTGACCCTGAGCTCCTGGACGAGGGGATGACTATGGCTGCATCGCTGAAAAACTACTGTTTGTCCTTCCACAGTGCTTTCTTGGAGGCAGTCAGTGTGTATACACAGCCCACACGTAGAGTAGAGTATCTGTGTGTTTTTAATTATTATATGTTTTTATTAGTACAGGGCTGCAGGAACACCGACCGTGGGGAGTTGGTACTATGTAACTATTCGCATTCTATGTGGAAGTTTCACCTCTTCTCCACGCAGTCGCTTACTCCTGCCTTTACGCGCTCACGGAGATGTCTTCGTTTGACTCGTAATCTACACTACTTTCTCCTTAAGTTATCGTAGTTTTGGGCATTGAGAGCTCTTTCACTTGGCTGATTTCTCTCGCATTCCCCCGTCACCGTGGGGCATTCTTTCCAGCTTTTTTGGACACTTCCTTACTTTGAAGGCTTAGCCTTGTTGTCCAAGACATACCCCGCCTCACACAGCGCCCGCTTTCCCGTTACTGTCCTCCCTGCGGCGCCGGGGTCTCCACAGTCCCTGGCGGGCCCGCGGGCCAGGGTGGCCTCGGTCGCAGACGGTCTTCGCCGGCGGGACCTTGCGCGGTGCGGGAGCGTCGTCTGCACAGCGGGGCGAAGCAGCGGCGGGGTGCGGGTCACCTGGGGGCTCGGGCTGAGCTCTGCGGAGGGCGCGCCCCGGCCCCGCGCCACGGAGCGCGGACGGCAGTGTCC